AACAAAGTAGAGAATAGACTCTAGCATCCCATCTAAATAAGGGATGTGGTGGCTTAGTGGTTAATATGCTAATTCTGATGATCGGAAGACCAGAAGGTTGGCAGTTCAAGGCCTGAGTGCTGCATGAAGTCCCAGCTTCTGCCAACCTAGCAGTTTGAAAGTATGTAAAATGCAAGTAAATAAATAGATACCACTATTTATGGGAAGTAACGCCATTCAGTGCAGTCATGCTGGCCACATGGACAACACTGCCTCTTTGGCTTAGTAACGGAGATGAGCACCACCTCCTACATTCAGTTACAACTAGATATTCATGTCAAGGAACTACCTTTACCTATCCCATCTAAAACAGGCAGGGGGCAGACAAAGAACTCGGCAGAATATTACACTCTGTATGCTTGATGAAGGTAGGGTGTCATGAAAGGGCAGCCAGATGTTATTTTTAAATGTCTACTTTTTTGTTTTTATTGCTGGAGGGAGTTAACTTGTGATATTTTATTTCCTCAGGTGCCAAAATAACTTGAATGCTGTACAATTCCAAATTTAAGTTTTCTTAAGTTTTGCTTGAAGTCAAGTGAGTAGAGCAAGGAGTAAAGATCTGTGGTGGAAGAGCCTCCTAACCCCTGTTGGGCTTAGAGAATAGAAGGAAGACAGGTATTGCTTTTCCCCTCTTGTTCCTCGCTGGTGGATCCAAAGCTTCTTTAATTTACCCAACTAGCCTCTGGAATATTCTATTTTTAATAGCTTGCAAAATTAACTTTTTTAAACTACTGTTTTTATAATTCTCAAGACATAGTTGTAGTCCAAAAAAGTAACTTTTCAAGTTTTTTTCTTTTTGCCTGGTCTTCTCGCAGAGCAGCTGTGTTGTTTTGCAAACTCCACTGTTTTGCAAGAGTGTTTGACTCCTGCTTTTCACATTAATAAAACTACAAAGCTTCCAGATTATCTGTCTCAAGGAGTGTGAAAATTTTAATGTTTGATTCCTTTCTATTCACTGCTGTGGCCATGAAAAAACAACAAATTAGACACTCTCACAATTCACAAACATGATAGTGAATGTGTTTTCATAGAATGATAAAAGTTGGAAGAGACATTAAGGGTCATCCTGTCTTCTCCCTCTGCCATATAGGAATACACAATAAAAAAACTCCTGACAGATAGTCATCTAGCTTTTGTTTAAAAATCTCCAAAGAAGGAAGCTCCACCTCACTCCAAGGTAGCATATTCCACTGTCGAACAGCTTTTACCAACAAAGGTCTTCATAATGTTTAGGTGGAATCTCTTTTCATGTAGTTTGAATCTATTGTTCCATGTCTTAGGGCCTCGGCGGATGGCTTATTGAGCCATCTCCGAGCCCAGGAAGAGGAGGAGCAGCCGCACGCGCGGCACTCCTTCCTCTTCCTGAGGTTGCCCTCAGAGCTGCTGGCCCTCCGCACGGCCGGCGCTCCGGGGGCAACCTCCCGCCGCAGCGTCCGCACGCACTGCGGCGGAAAAGACAGGGAAAGTGTGCCCTACGGATTTAGGGCGCACTTTCGCTGTCTTCTAAAAGGAGCGCCAATTTGGAGCTCCTTTTAGAGTCGCCGCAGGAGCGCCGCGGTGTGGAGGCTGCGGTCCCGCAGCGCTCCGGACCAGGGCGTCCTGGACGCCCTGGTCTACTTAGGCCCTTAGTTTCTGGAGCAGCAGAAAACAAGCTTACTCCATCCTCAATAAGTTCTAGTTGTTAACTGCCCTCCAGTTGCTTTTGACTCATGACAACTCCATGAATGAGACACCTTTAAGACAATCCATCATCAATTACTCTGCTCAGGTCCTGCAGGCTCAGGACCTAATTATAAATTCCTAGTCCCAGCTAGAGTACACCAAATCAACCAATTACTGAATGGCACCACCCCCTACAGTCAGTTATGACTAGACATTCACGTATATTATTTAAAATACAAAAATTTTATGCCAATATTTGTTTGTTTTCTTTTGGTGATGCAGTTCTTCCTTTTAAATAAGCACCTCAATAGTTAGGTATTGTTTTTGATCTGGCAGAAAGTCTGAGTGGAATTTGGTAAACTAAAAAAAATATGTGGAAGAAAGGTGATGGCAGGGAATCTGATATGTCCAGAAGTGTGCTGGTAGGTGCTATGAGACAAGATGTTGAGGGGTGACAGGAAGGGTGTGTGGTGAGAAGCACATCTGCTAGATAAAGATCTGAATGTAAGAATGACAAGGAAATCATTTCAGGGGAGTGGCACCAGGGAGAGAGGTGTTTATCTTGGAGGGTGGTGTGAGAAATTTATAAAAAGTATATAAGAAGCTGCCTTCTACAATTGTCTCCATGAATGCCTGTAAACAGCCTTCTCTAATAGATGGTGGTACTCCCAGTTATCAATCAGATATCTTTCCCAGTGCACTGGAGAGGTCAGGAATTTAAACTGGACACTGAGAAAGCAACACATGCTACTCCACAAGAACTTGGAATTGTTACTTTTTGTATATATATTTTTTATTAAACCATTAGAAAATAAATCATACAATTGCCATTCCACAATTATACTAAAAATTACCCCACCACCCATCACTCCATTCAACTTCTAATAAATGATCCTTTACCACAGTCTATTAATTGCTTCACTATCATCAGTTAATACACCTGATTACCTCTCTTATAGAGTTTATCACACGGGGAGCCCGGTGCAGAAATGGGCTTTAAAGTAAAAAACCTGCAAAAGCGGAAGCTTTCAATGAACGGGATTTCTCCCGTTCTGCCCTGTGTGAAAAGTGAAAGCGCTGTTAAAAGGAGGTTAATCCGAATGGAAATTAGACAAACACTGCTTAATTTTACTTTCGGAATCCTCCAAAAAATAAAAAGAAGCAGTTTTTGTCTAATTTCTGTTCAGATTAACCTCCTTTTAATGGCGACATCGTCTGAAAAAACACCCGCTTTTGCAGGTTTTGTTTAATTTAAAGCCCCATTTCCGCACAGGATTTCCCCCATGTGATAAACTCCTTAATTCTAAAATCAAACTACTAATCATACTCTCTAATCTTTATTTCCTTTTCTTTCTTACATGGAAATGTTACTTTTTGGATTACAACCACCAGAATCTTCTAATCAACACAGATTCTGGGACCATAATTAAAAAACAATAATAATTGAGCAATTGTAATAAATATATCAGAACAAAACAAAAACAATTCTGGGCTGCAACTAGGACAAAAGAATTTCTCAGTTTCTCAGACACTTTCTCAGAGAGCAAAGGTATTGGTTTCTCCACCTTTAACTGCTTCCAAACCAAACTTCTTGGCAGGTACACTGGTTGTATCCAGCAGAGCTTGGAAAAGTTATGTTTTTGGACTATTTACTTGTTACTTGCCATGAAGCTTTGGCTTTGACATATGGCAATCCTATGAATCAAAGACTTTCATAAGCCTAAGTCATTAACAGTCCTGATTCTGAGAGTTATAGTCCAAAAATGTAACTATTCCAAGATATGGTCATATCCTAGCACCTGCTTACAAGGCTCTTCTGCTCTGATCACTGATTCCTGTTACATCAAACTGAAGATGGGGAGGCACCAAACGCAGTCTAATTCATCAACTGCAAAATTGGTGCAAAATCCCACACAATCTTTAAAAAAAAAAGCCTTGCTTAGCACAAGTTCTAATTCATCTCTGTCACACTGCCTAAAATCTACCATCTGGGTGCAGCCTCAGTGACACCTAACTTTTTATTATGATGATTTTAATTAAAAGCTGCTCCATCCTAGACAAGTGTTGCCTATAGTCTGACATCCACAGATGCTTGGGCACAGCACCAGGCGCATTGCCTATGATCTGACCCGACTGCTGCTGCTGCCGCCTCCACCTCCACAGTGCTGACCTAGAACTGACAAAACTCTCTTGGCCTCCTCTTGCACAGGGGGAGGGTGTTGGCTGGCTGGCTGGCTTGAATGGAGCTCATTATGCAGACAATTAAGCATGGCTAGCAAGCGGAGCCCCCACCGCACCCACCCACCACCCCAGGCAAAGAAAGCCTCTCCCAGCCAGGGACAGTGAGCCAGTCTGCCAAGGAGGCAGCTTCCTCTCGGCTGTTCCTCTCAGAATGTTCCAAGCAGCAGCTCTGGTCCAAGTCAGGACACAATGTGCTAACTCCACTCCCAACACACTGCACCCAGCATGACTGGTCTCTCTTCCTTGCATGCAGGGAGAAGCACCAAAGCCCTCACTTTGAGCACAGGAAAGTGCCTCTTGTGAGGTCAAACTCTTTGCCTAACCAGTTCAATATTGTCTATCCTGGTTGGTTGCCATTCTCCAGGGGCCTGTCTCAGGCACAAGTCTTCCCCCCTATACCTACTAGCTGCTTTTTATCAGCACAGCAACACCCTCTGTTGTTGTGTACCTTCAAGTTATCACGGGGTTTTCTGAGGCTGAGACTGTATTGTCCAAGGTCACCCTGTGTGTTTCCATGGCCAAGCAAGGATTTGAACCCTGATCTCCAGAGTTATAGTTTAACACTCAAACCACTACACTACACTGGCTCCCACCGCAACATCCTTACATTTTAGTTATTTGTTTCATTAATATTCCATCTTTCCACAAAAACTGGGGCCCAAGGTGTCCCCTCAATTAAAAATATGTATAAAAAACAAAACTTCATAGTATTAATAATAATAATAAATTTTATTTTTAACCCGCCCCTCTGCAAGGCAATCGAGGTGACGTACAAAGTTAAAATAAGACAGCAGTTAAAACAATTCCATCCCCCCCAATTCCTAACCCACCCACCCCATAAAAGTCGAATTAAACTAGTAGAATAATTAAAATATCAAATAAATCAACATCAATAATTAAAACATTAGAACAACAGTGGTGTCAGGGAGCAGTAACCATCCAAACTCTGATAGGGGCAGGAGAATTATTCCAGGAAGGCCTGTCAGAAGAGACCCATTTTTACTGCTTTTTTAAAGCAGTCAAGAGTGGTAATAAGACGGATCTCATCCGGCAGGTCATTCCATAATATTGGAGAGTTGACAGAGAAGGCCCTCTGGGAGGTCTGTGGCAGCCTAGTTTTTATAGGCTGTAGCAGGTTCCTCCCAGAAGACTGAAGTGCATTTGGGGAATCATACGGGAAGAGGCGGTCCCGAAGATAAGTTGGACCCAAGCCATGTAGGGCTTTAAAGGTCAAAACCAACACCTTGTACTGCCAACACACTTAAACCAACACACTTAAAGAAATCACAATATTAAAACATTAATTTAAAGCCATTAAAAATGCATCAATAAAATGGACAGTGTTCACCAGTCAAAAGTCACTTTTTCCAGTCAATGCTCCAAAGCCACATGAATAAAGAGGTCATTGTTTGTTGATAGAATGACAACAGGGAAGGATCCCTGCCTAGCTTTTGTGTGATAGGAATTTCACAGCCTGGAAATTATACTGAGTCAGGATAATTTCCATCTATCCATCTGTCCAGTACTGCCCAGCAGAAACTCTCCAGGATTTCATATAGGAGTCCTTCTCAGTACTAACCTCATGGATGCTGAGGACTGAGCCTGCAACCTACTTCTTACAAAATGTATGCTCTGCTGCTGAACTTTTTTTTTCTGGGACCATCCATAGGCAAATCATCACTATCATTGCTATGGGCATTACCACATGAATTCTGCTCTCGCAGCAATCACGCCAGTTTTTTAAAATGAAAACGTAACACTTTCAGAGCAGCCATTACCACACGTTTTCTCAGTTGCACAATTGAGGCTGCTGCTCCCATCAAGCTCTCTTTCTGACTCTCTCTTAACCTTCCTCTCTACCCTCTGTCCTACCCAGCATGTCTTTCAGTTATTTTATTTTTATTTTTCCCCACTTTTTCATGCAATTCCAGAGCTCTAGTACTGCAAGTTAAGGGTTTTTTTTAAAAGAGAGAGAAGAAATGAAAAATAATTGAACAGAAACAGGCTGTTTGGGAATAGTGTGGTGGAGGAGGGACAAGGAAAAGGGCACCACATGACTACCAATCTTGCAACTGCCCCAGCAGCAACATTTCACACCTGGGGATTTGTGTGATTGTGAGGTAATTGACAGGTTTTTCTCATCAATAAAAAGGGATGCAGCAGTTATGGGTTAGGGACAGAGCAGTCAGAGGCAGCGTTGTGCAATAAGTATTACCAAAGCTGCTTTTTTTCCTAGTCTAATCACAGTTTAAAAGCCATATGTAGAAATCTCCTATGATCTCTTCCTTGGGGAGCCCAGCAATATAGCTGTTCCTGTTAAGAACACTGAAAATTCATCCAAGATGCTCATCAGTTCTCTCTGGCTTTCCACATTTGTCTAACATTGGGCCTTTGCAGACTGCCAGAAATAGTGCAAATTGAGTCCACTTTAACTGCCCTGACTCAGTGCTAAGGAATCATGGGAACAGTAGTTTATTGTGGCACCAGAGCTCTCTGACAGAGAAGGCTCAATGTTTCAGAAAAAAATACAATTCCCATGATTCCCTAGCACTGAGCCAGGGCAGTTAAAGTGACCTCAATTTGCACTATTTCTAGCAGTCTGCAAAGGCCCATTGATTCTCAACACTGATTCAGCTCTTCTTTTTGTTTCCTATTTTTGAGCTTGGTCCCTTTAAACTTGGGCTATATAGAAAAATGCCTCTGTGCACATGATGTTGTTTGGGGCAAAGGTACATAAGCACTTATTTGCTACATTTACTATGTAATCACATTGGAGAATTCATCCACAGATCATGGGAGGTAGTTTGTAGAAAGCCTCAAGAACATTAGGAAAGCCATGCTGGATCAGACCAAAAATCTATTTAATCTATTCTGTTTCTGCTAGATGTCTCTAGGAAGTCCACAACCAAGGTATGATGAAGACAGTACCACAGAATCTTAGAATCTTAGTAATAACAGGGTCATTGAGTCTAAGCCCTGTGCCATGCAGGAATACAAAACAGATCTACTACCAAGAAGTTGCCATCCAAATTCTCTTTAAAGCCCCCCACAGATGGAGATTCTACCATCCTCTGAGGTAGTCCATTCCACTGTCAAATAGCTCCTCCATTAAGAAGTTCTACCTAATGTTTAGAAGGAAATTCTTTTCTTGCTATTTGAATTCATGCCGTTCTGTAACAGCAGAAAAGAAGCTTGCTCTCTCTTCTACATGACATCTCTTCAGATGTTTAATGATATGTCATCCCTCATTCTTCTTTTCTCCATATTAAACATACCCTGCTCCCTAAGCTGTTCATCACAGGACTTGGCTTCCAGCATAGGACTTGGCTTTGACCATCATGGTCACCCCCATCAAGACATGTTCCAGCTTGGCAATATCATCTTTGAACTGTGGTGCCCAGAGCTGAACATGGTACTCCAGGTGAGGTCTGACCAAAGCACAATAAAAGGATACTATTAGTCCCCTCAATCTGGATAGTATATTCCTGTTGATGCAGCCTAAAACTGCATTGGCTTTTTTAATCACTGCATCACACTGGGGACTCATGCTTAGCATGTGCTCTATTAAGACTCATAGAGTCTTTTTCATATTTACTTCTGTCAAGCTGGGTGTCACCCATCATCTATTTCTGAATTTCATTTTTCCTGCTAAATGTGATACCATACATGTATCCCTGTTGAAATTCATTTTGTTCATTTTGCCCCAACTCTCCCACTTATTATGGTCATTTTGAATCCTGATTCTGTCCTCTGGGATAGCCACCCTTAAAAATTTGGTGTCATCTGCAAAGATGATGAGCATTTCCTCTATTCTTTTATCCAAGTTATTTATAAACATGTTGAGCAACACCAGACTCAGGACAGAACCCCAAGGCACACTACTAGATGGAATGCGGTGTTCTTCTCCTGCAGTTATATAAAACAATCATGATTATCATGCTTACCCATATCCTTCCTCACTTTGTCCAGTCCACTTTTAAAGTTGTGACAGTGGATTTCATAGTTCAACTATGTATGGTAAGAGAGAGAAAAATTATTTCTGTCCTGAATCTTCCACCATACCATTGCATTGGATAATCCTGATACTAGTTATGAGAGAGAGAAAAAATATGTCTCCCTTGACTTTCTCAGTGTCCATCAGTATCTAGCTATCCTATCCAATCCAAGGCTCCTATTCAATCCAGTATCCTGCCCAAGGCTTTAACTGAAATGATCTGCATTTACTCATCAGATTAAGAACATAAGAATCAGACTGCATATGACCAAAGGCTTTTCTAGGTCCCATAATGGCCAAACAGATGGCTCTATTCTGAACATTGGAGCCTTCTTTTGGGAAATTAATGTAAACCATTGCATCCACCACTGCTCTCAAAAACAGCCATCATAGTTATGAACATTAGACAACAAGAGCTGGTGCTTAGGGCTACAAGAGGTGACAGCAACAGCTTGCTGCCTAAAGAAAGCATCTGCTACTTTCTAGGAAAGATCTCCCAAGCAAGCTCACCTTGCATAGCTCTGAATATGCAAATTAAAAGGAAAAACTGCTACAGTGGAATCTCTTGTCCATGCTCATTGTTAGCCAAAGTGCATTTTTCTGAATTTTGGTGTGTGTATGAATTCCACATAATCCCAGATGTACACTGCAATGGACCCCAAGTGCCACCTAGGCAATGACAGGCAGCTCATACCAAGGCCATTTGGAAAACTGGAAAAAACCCATCCCAAAAGCCAGACAGATAATGTGGGAGTTGCAAATGGATCATCATCACCTCCATAATCAGAAGAATGGATGATATTACCTAGATGTCTCACAACTTAATCCTTTCCCATTCACCTTGAATATTGCCAGACCGAATTACCCCACCCATACAAACTAATACCTTTGCCCTGTAGCTAATTTTAGCTCTTAAAAACACCTGTATTTTCCCCCTCAGTGTTGCTATTTTGGAGTTTAAGGGGACACTATGTCACTGTGAGCTCTGGTCTAGTTACTGGCACTTCTGTTCAACCTCTCAGAATGGTTGTGTCTCATGCCGCCTCACCCAATTGGATCCCAGAGAAAGCCTCATCTGTAGTAAGTATCACCCATAGTTTTGCCTCAACATCTTTTCCAAGCTAACCCCTGACTTCCCGAGCCTTGAATGAGTGTGTGTGTGTGTGTAAATTGCTGTGTGATTTCCCCTTTAATAAATAATACTTTAATTGGAGAATTCTATCTCTGCATCAATTCTTAGATCTCTCGGTCTCTTGGTATACATGTGGTAGACGGTCTCACAGGGTCCTTGTAGCCGATCCCCTTTCAATTTGAGCTAAATAAAATTCCCCATAATAGACTTTTGGCTACATCATGCAGTGAGGGAAAGCCATCAGAGAGCTAAGGAAATACTGCTTCCTCAGGTAGTGAATTCCAGAGGTCACAGCGAAGCCCTCTTCTACATCCCAACCAAACATACATCACACTAAACACTTTCAAGGTCAATTTACAATGGAGCTTAATAATCACAGAAAGTGTGGTTGTTAAATATCTGACATCAATGCTCCCATGTCACTTGTGTATAATTAGGTGACCTGTACCAGTATAGAAAAA